AGGGACACCTTCCACTATCCCAGGTTGCTCCAAGCCCTGTCCAGCCTGGCCTTGGACACTTCCAGGGATGGGGCAGTCACAGCTTCTCTGGGTAACCTGTGCCAGGGCCTCCCCACCCTCACAGCCAAGAATTCCTTCCCAATATCCCATTTAACCCTGCCCTCTGGCAGTGGGAAGCCATTCCCCTTGTCCTGTCACTATCCCCCCTAGTATCTAATGGTAGGTGTCCCTACCCGTGGCAGGGAGTTGGAACTGGATGCTCATTAATGTCCTTTCCAACCCAAACCAGTCCATGATTCTCTGATCTCAACCTCTCTACCTTGAGCCCTTTTAATCCCAGACTTTCAATCTTTCATCCTTTTGCTGCACAGTACATTATGGAGAGAGCTCTTCCATCACCAGACATTTAAAGCCATGGAAGGCAGGAGCTTTGGGCCTGATCCCTCCAGAAAACAGCTCCATCCTTCCCCACGCTCCGTGCCCGGGCATACACAGTTTTTAGCCAAGTCCCTGTTAATGAAACATTTCAAGACAAACTTTTTATGGTCAATAATTTTGCCTGTTCTGGCTCCCCAGGCTGCTGTGGGCTGCCAAATCCCATGGCAGATGTTCCCAGCAGCTGTGGAATCATCAGACCCTTGTCTTGGCACCCCCAAGTCCCAAGGGGTTGTGGCTGGGGTGGAAGGATGCTCAGAGGGCTTCCCACACTTCCAAATTCCACAAGGAGATGTTCCAGGGCTTCATCTGCTCCATGCCTGTGCAGTGGAGCACTGAAGAACCCTGCTCTGAATCCTGCATAAATCCATGCTCATTAGTAGGGATGGAATGCACACCATGGGATGGACCCTGAGCCTTGGGAGAGGGGTTACACCTTCCACTGAATCTTAGGAAACACAGGATTTGTGCCATGGATATGGAAGCAAGCAAGAGAGATCCAGGAAATTATTGGCAGACATGAATTAAATGCCTGTTTGATACAGTTGGAGAGTCTGAAATCACTTAAATCCTAGCTCTGAGTGCCCAAGCCAGGCTTACCTTCAACTAGGGGAGCTGCCTTTGGTGCTGTGAGGGGAAAAGGAGCCATAAAACCAAGCTGAGTCAACACTGAAGGAGAAATTAATTGATGAGCCTGAAGAGACAGAAGAAGGGAGCATGGTTGCATAGCTGTGTTGTTGGGAAGGGCATGAGGAAGGTTCCCTCGAGGTGGGTGGGAGGCTGATACCCACCATGGACCCCAACACTGAACCCACATCTTTCCATGGGAACTTTCAACTAACAGCACATAAGCAGATATTTTTATATGTTATCATAGAATATCCTGAGTTGGAAGAGACCCATCAGGATCATTGTATAATATCTTTGAATATAATTTAAAATTAAAAGAAAATTAGTGCCAACTGAGAGCAACCCCAAGTTTCAAAGCCTAGAAGGTTTCCATGACACAGTCCCTTTTGGGTCTCCTGCCTTCCTGGATGCAGAGAAAGAGGAATCCAGTGTAGGTTCAGCATTGATCCACACAGGAGCTGGACTCCATGATCCATGTGAGTCCCTTCCAACTCACAATGTTTTATGAGTAGTCTTGCCTTGCACAGCCAACTCCACACACCACTCATGGCTGTTGACTCTCCAATCCCACTTCCTAAGTGCATTTTTGTGGCATTTAGGTGTCCAAGGTACCTTTTCTTGGCTCTTCCCTTTCCTTCACCAGAAAATCATTGTTTCTCTCAATCTGCACAAAGGAAACAACAAAGTTGAAATGAAACTCTCAGAATCATAAAATATCCAGAGTTGGAAGGGACCCCCAAGGATCATCAAAGGATCCTGGACCTGCACAGAACAACCCCAAGAATCTCACCATGTTCCTGAGAGTGATGTCCAAACTCAACACAGTCTTTTCCACAGTGAATTAATAAAACATGTGGAAGACAAAATCTCAGTCCTACCCAATTTCAGTACTTGGAGTCTTTGTCTCCCTTTCCAACTCCAGGCCTTGGAAATTATGTGAAACTTCCAATTCCTACTTCCAGCCTCACTCTAAACCCTCAAAACAACTGCTACTCTCCATTTCCAGTTCTTCACCCAAGGCTCCTAAAACATCATATGGGGAATTTGGGAGCCCCATTTGAAACAAATTGTTTTAATTAAAATAGTAATTTCCAGCCCCGAGAGATGTAAACTATTAAAGAGCTGCCAGCAGGGAGATCCACTAATGGAGAGCAGCGAGCAATTACAGCCAATCTGCCGCAGGTTTGCTGGAAAAAACCAGACTGGAATACCAGAGCAGCCCTTGCCAAGGGGTTATTCATCACCACAGACAGCGTTAACCAGGCACAGGTTTCTCCTCCCATAAAGGCTCAGCGAGGGCACTTCATTTTCTCCTGTGTCATCGAGTCATTGTGATATAAGAGGAGAGATCAGCAACGGGAAATGGAGGGAACAAATCTCCTCTCCATTAAAAGGCTCTTCAGCCCCTGAAACTCTGTGTGCAGAGAACAAGGGGGGGGGCTGATGAAAATGTTTTCTCTTTTGAAAGTGAACTCTCTGTCTCAGACAACTCAACCCCTTTTCTCCCACACACCCAGTATTTCAGGAATATTCATTTTGGGGGGTACCACAATTCAGGAATATTCAGAAACACCAATCAAGTTCGTGGGTTATCTTTCCTATGAAAGTGGATGGTATCCAACCCAAAGTTAAATTCTTGGGGGTTTCCCTGGAAAGGCAAATGTGAGGCAAAGGAAGAAAGGAAGAGGTGCTTTTTTTTAATTGTTAAATGTTATGGGTTTTTTCCCAAATTGGAGATGGAAGGAAAACAACAAGAATAACCACCACCAACAAAGAAACACCAAAAACCACCAAAACCCAAGAACCACCAACAATAACAACTTAAACAATTTCTCCAAGAGCCACCTATTTTTTTCCAAAATTAACCTTCACTGGTTTTATTTCTTATTCTGGACTATACACAAATTCACTGCAAGGACAAACCTTGGAAAACAAAAATGACTTGTTGCTCCAAAGGTCCACATTTCTAATCAACGCTTCTTTCACCTTTCAGGGCTGAATCTATGTCAGAAATGTAGCCTGAAGGAATTTTACTTCTATTCTGACCTATGGAATGTTTCCTATTGCAAAGAAATGTTGGTTTGGGTTTAGAGTTTCATATATCCTGCTGTATCAGGTATCACAGAGCCAATGCCTAAAGGGAATATGCTTTGCTGGAAATCAACCAGAGATTGGCATCTAAAAATAAATATATTTACATTTTTCTATCTGATCTGGAAATTTATTTCCAGAAGTATAAAATCATAGAATCTCAGACAGGTTTGCCTGGAAGGGACCTCCAAGACCATCCAATCCCACTCCCTGCCACGGGTAGGGACACCTTCCAATAGCCCAGGCTGCTCCAAGCCCCGTCCAACCTGGCCTTAAACACTTCCAGGGATGGGGCAGCCACAGCTTCTCTGGGCAACCTGTGCCAGTGCCTCACCACCCTCACAGGGAAGAATTTCTTCCCAATACCCCATCTAAATCTACCCTTTTTTAATTTGAAGCCGTATTTCAGCATTTCATGGACATACCATATTCAACACATTAGAAGAAAAGCATCCTCCTCTGGAGGGCAAGAGGTCAAGTTTTCACTTCTATGTGTCATCATCTCTTTGGATACAATACAGGATTACCTATTTTAGGGAAAAAAAGAACCATTAAAAGTCATTTTTGCTATGTGGATTGTTACTGTGGAGAACAACTCAGTTTAAGAGTTAAAAGGGAAAAATGGGAGCAAACTTCCTGGGGGGGGGGGGGAAGAATAGGAAAAACAATTAAAACTTTTTCAAAATAAAATCTCCATCTATTTTCAATAAATAATATCCAGTTTTCCCTTGGGTTTCTGTTCAGGAACCACAGGCATCTGCCTCTGCCACCCACAGCCCCAGCAGAGACACAATTCCTCCAAGGAATTCACGTCAGCGCCGTGACCTGCTGGAGACACACGGGTATGAAAAGTGGGATTCTTTTATATAATTCCCTTCTTGCTTGATTCAAACCTCATTAAATCAAGAGCAATATTAACCATCCATTTCAGAGGGTGTTGTGCGAGGCCCTTTTCTCAGCAATGAGGCTGGAATTGTTTATTAATCCCATTATTTATTAATCCCACTGTCACCTGACTCTTCAGGTGATGAACACCAGACAACACCATATTTCACTCGTGGCTACACTGTAATAATTAAATAATATTAAGGAGAATTACCAGGGATGGAATTACCAGCAAATCAAGACTCTTAAATTCCACTGAAGGATGTTTAAGCAGACATTCCACAAGGGCAAACAGATAAATTAAGGTTCCCCTCAGCAATCTCTGTGACAACGGGAGAATACTAAACAGGGAGCATGAGGGATGTGTTGTAGTAAAATGTTCTGCCTTATTTTTAATTTAAATGTAGTTATAGGGATGAAGAGCCCGGAGGCATCAACCATTCCCAATCAAAGCTTACATGATTAAGTCTTCTAAGTGTAGTGAAATCACCACTGCCCAGGACTGCTCAAGTCATCAGAGGATGAATTTTTTCAGTACAAAGTCTTTTTTTTTCTTACCTTTTTTTTTTTAAGTATTTTCAAAAAACATGATTTCTCTTTGGCAAAGGAACCCTTTGAAGAGGCCCAAATAGCCTTTGAAGTGAAAATAGGGAAGTCATTTCATATTCAGACACCCATTTTACCTCCCCCTTCCTAAAAACGAAGGCGTCCAACTCAGTGAAAAATTTATCTAATGAAATAGGCCGACCGGGCTCGTGACATCAGAGGCTTTCAAGGCAACAAAATGGCCCTAAAATGGAAGTGGAGATGTCTTTGGGTGTAAATCAAAGACATTGAATCCAAATACTGGTTAATTATTTCAGATTAAGAGCTACAAAGTGTAAGTCAAAATGCTGCAATGCATGAAGTGCATGAATGGGCTGGTAAATATGTTGTTGTTTTGAGCTGTCGGCCCAAAAGATTTATTAAACCTCAGTTTAAATCTTCCTTTTCTAAGTCACAAAGGCCATTACAAACTCCTGGAAGTGGTAGATGCCACACAGTCCATTAGCAGTTGGATCTTAACGCTCTTCTCTTCCTCCTTCCATCCTCAGAAACTTATTTCTCTCCTTTAATATTTCCTCAGAGCCTCCTATGTCACAGGTTTTCCCATGCACGTCTTTCCTCTGCCTCAGAAAGAATGAGAGTGGCTGATGTTACTCAGAAACCAGAAGTTTTAAGATAGTTCTCAGTGGAATGATGAAAAATCCCACAGGTTCCAGAAAGCAATTGGTAAATACAGGCTTCTACTTCCATAAAATGCAATTTATTAAATACAAATGTGTACCAATGGGAAGTGTTTTACTGCTGCAAATTCAAGGCTGCTCGAAGCACACTCTGAAGTCAATAACCCAGCAGTAAAAGCAGCAGCACACAAATATATGTCTCCTCCTATTCCACAAGCCACCATTTTCTTCTACACAAGATTCCCATCAAAAAAACAGCTTCAAATTTTTACCTGAGCTTTCTAGCTGAAGAAATTGTGACCTGGTTTGTTATTTTTAAATATTTTTTTTAATAATTCCTCTCCACTTTAATCTCTTTTCATGTATATTGGATGTTTAGGAAGAGGGAAATAGTCTTATTGAATAAAAAGGGCAAATAAATCATGTAACAGGAAAACTCATAAATCTGTATTTACATTGGATGTAAAAGTAAACTCACCAAAGGTAATTTACTGACTCTAATAATGAATGTGACAATTAGGCCCTTAGATTTTATTAGTGTGGTGAAAGAACTTATTTTATGTTCAAATATTTAAATACTCACTGAAAGCAAATGTAAAAATATTGCAAATATTAAACACTCAATTACCTCGAGTTACGTAAAAATTCATTGAAAAATAATTTCCTGCCTGCAGAATCATATATTGCAAAAATCTGAAGTTCCTGATTTCCAGGGAATCCAGTGAATTTGATGGATTTATTTGGAGACTAGATGAGGAAATATTTGCATTTCTCACAGGAACAGGCAGGAAGCAGTTGGCATTTGGAGTGCTGACCACAGGGCAGCTATTGGGATTCCTAAGGAATCATGGAATCATTAAGGCTGGGAAAGACCTCATCAAGTCCAACCAGCATTGCCAAGACCACCACTGACCCATGTCCCCAAGTGCCACATCCACACGGCTTTTAAACCCCTCCAGGGATGGGGACTCCACCCCTGACCTGGGCAACTGTGCCGGGGCTTAACCACTCTTCCAGTGGGAAAATTCTTCCTAATATCCACCATGAACCTCCCAAGGAGCAACCTGACCAAAGCCTTCCTAATATGAATAGAAACTGAGACTTGCTGGTGCCTTGGGGTAATGCTGGGGAGAGGCAAGGTGAAGAGTTCTTACCTCACTCAATAATCATGGGTTTGCTCTTTCATGGTGGATGCCAGGATGAGAAGGACATGGAACTGTTGGAGCAAGTCCAGAGGAGACCACAAGGTTGATAAGAGGACTGGAGCACCTGCATATGGACACAGGCTGGGAGAGCTGGGAGTGTTTAGCCTCGAGAAAAGAAGGTTGAGTGGAAACCTCACAGCACCTTCCAGTGTCTGAAGGAGCTATAGGGAAACAGGATAGGGATGTTCATCAGGAACTGCAGTGATGGGACAAGGAGTATGAAAGAGGGGAAAATTAGAAAGAGAAAATTAGAAAATTAGAACAGAAAGAGGGGAAAATTAGACTGGATATTGGGAAGGAATTCTTGGCTGTGAGTATGGGAAGGCCCTGGCACAGGTTGCCCAGAGAAGCTGTGGCTGCCCCATCCCTGGAAGTGTCCCAGGCCAGGTTGGACGGGGCTTGGAGCAACCTGGGCTAGTGAAAGGTGTCCCTGCCCATGGCAGGGGGTGGGACTGGATGGACTTTAAGGTCCCTTCCAACCCAAACCATTCCATGATGGTAGAAAATGAAGGTGAACCACAGACACCATGAGCTGCTCCAGCGAGGGCATTAAAAATAAAATGAACAAAAACATCCCTAAATGTTCCTACAGCCATAAGATGCAAGTTCAGGCAAGATTCTGAAAAATAAAGCAGAAAACCCTACAAATGTCCTCATTTCACATCTCCCATGATCAGATCACACAACTAACAGGACACAAAAGACCTTTTCTTCCTCTGGTCGCAGAGCTCTGGTCATTTTGAGCCATTTGAGTTTAGCTCAATCCAAAAATAACATTAATGACAATAAAACTTTATCTCTTCACTCTCAGTACAGGAGGATGGAAGAGAATTCATGTTGGTTTTATGTTATTTGAGTTGATCACTCTCTGCCTACTTACCTTAAACAGCCAGCCGTGCTGCTGCTTTATTTTTCAGAGCTTCCATAAAGAAAATGCTGCAATTTTGTAAATTATAGTCCTGCAATCGATAGTTCTATTTTCAATGTGCTTAAATCAAATCAAATACTTACCTGAACAGCAAACCAGGCAAAAACCTGAAGGGACAAAATTCAGAGGGAAACATTAGCTATGATTTAACTTGATAGCAAAATGCACTTCCCAAAAGATGATACAAGGGTACAACAGGTTTTTCGCAGCTCTCCCCAAGGAGTTATTATTTAAATCAATCAATTCACCAACTGACAGAGGAGATTTCCATATCCAGAACACCTGAGAGCTCCCATCATTTCCCCAAATTTCGGGATAACACGGAATGGTTTGGGTTGAGAGGGACCTTAACAATCACCCAGTCCCAATGCCCGCCGTGGGCAGGGACACCTCCTACTACCCCAGGTTGCTCCAAACCCTGTCCAATTTGACCTTGAACACTTCCAATAATATTAAGCTTTGAAATATGACTTTTAGAAGCCTAAAAGTAACTCCCACCAAACTTCACAATTAGTGGGGGGTGAGATAGGCTCCTCCTCAGCCTGTTACTCTACTTAAAATGCTGCTTGGTCATAGACATGTAGCTTGGAGTATCTGAAATAAAGCTTAGATTTTATGTTCACCTTCCTATGAAGTGACACGAGAAACTTAACTCAGATTAATGCCTGTTTATACATTTTAATTGTATATTAAAGTGTGTTTTGCGGCTACATCAGAAACATCAGTGGCATATTAACTTACATTAGCTTTAACAAAAAAAAAACCCACACCAACATTGGCACATTGGCAATTATTCTGCAATTATATGCAAATTACCTTCCCCACTAATTGCTCTGACAGGTGACTAATAGCTCCTCTAAAAGGGGGGGTGGTTTTACCCCGGGGTTTCCTCAATTGTTTTGCTTGACCACCTTTCCTTCCAGCACTGAAACATAAAGCAGAAATGCTCAGTTTACACTCTGCTGGGGATTTTTCCCAACCCAAATCGATGTGCTCCTTCCCCACCTCCTGTGTCTGCGCATCCCCCAGCTCAGGGACACTCACCAGGGAACAGTTTCTGCCTCTGGTAGAGCTCCTGAGTCTCTAAAAGCTTTTCCAGATTTGCTCCTGAAGCATCTGTGGTCAAACTTCAGCAGGTTTTTAAGCAAATGGGGGCTGAGGAGGGAACCTCAATGTGCCTCAGTGATCTCAGAGTTCTTTTCTAACCTTAATGATTTCATGATTCCATGACTAGAATGTCCCACAGCCCTCACAGCAAACTCTTGATAAAACCTCCACACCTACTTCAGGTGCAAATGATCTCAGTCCAAGTGCAGATAAATAATCATCTCTTCCTGTTTGGGTTGTAAATCTTCTTTAATTTGAAGACTCTCTCTACTGTGCCATGAGGAGAAGGAACAGTCTGGTATCTGTGAGGGGTCCTGGACACTGACTGGTGAGTATTGAAGACAACTGGCTGTAGAAATGATGACACCAGTGGAAAATGCTGCTCATTCAGCTGACAAATGTATATGAAATATAATCTTGCTCCACTGACAGGTTTACCAAAGGTGGGCCTAGGATGGGACAAACTCATTTCATTGGATCATAGAGTTGTTAAGGTTGGAAAAGACCTTCAAGATCAGCAAGTCCAACTGTCTTCCACTACCATGTTCATCACTAAACCATGTCCCCAAGTGCCACATTCACATGTTTTTAGAACACTTCCAGATGTGGCCACTCCACCGCTGCCGTGGGCAGCCTGTTCCAACTTCATTTCACATCCCACCATCCATCTCCACAACCTCCTCGGGGAGGATGGGGACACACTGGAGGGTTGGCTCTTTGGGCTACAGCAAAACCATTTCTCCTGTCTGAGGGCAGAGTGTGACCAGACAGGACCAGGTGCCTGTGGTTTCCATTCTGGGGGAGAGAGAGCCTAAGGAAAAGTTGCTGCAAACCAGGAACAAACTACAGGAAAGGCACTGACCACTATGGATCTAAAGCTCCTCACTGTTCTTGTTCAGAGTAAACCTTTACACAGAATCATTGAGGTTGGAAAAGACCCCAAGACTGAGTCCAACCTCTGACTGATCCTCACCTTGTCACCCAGCCCAGAGCACTGAGTTCAGGATGTGTTACAATTCTGTGATTCTCTGCTGTCCTTCCCAGAGACCCCTCCCCTGAGTACTTCCCTACAACCCCCCACAAACAGGGATTTGATGTACACGCTGTAATACAACCCCATATGTTCCACACAGTCTCACTGTGAAAATGCTTCCCAGGCTTGTTTGCAAACACTCAAATGCTGCAAAACAAATGCCACCTCCTGCATGCAAATGAGAGCATTGCCTGGGAGACGGTGACCTTTGTTTTCCACACAGACCCCCCAGCTGGTGCCAGGATTATCTATACATCCCAAGGTGTGTTTCATCTGAAATGCAAAGCATTCCTTTACTGCATCTCTGCTTGGCTGGGAATCAAAGGAGTTTGTTTCCCTGTCCCTGAGAGCTCTTTGCTTGACTTTCACATCTTTAGAGGTGATTTGTAACTTCTTCATTCACAGCATGGAGAGAGAAACAGGAATTCTGTGCTGTGAATAGCAGTCACTGTCCTCAACAGCTGCTGTGTCAGAATCATGGAATGGTTTGGGTTGGGAGGGACCTCAAAGCCCACCCAGTCCCACCCCCTGCAATGGGCAGGGACACCTTCCACTAGCCCAGGTTGCTCCAAGCCCCATCCAGCCTGGCCTTGGACACTTCCAGAGATCCAGGGGCAACCCCAAATTCTCTGGACAGCCTGTGCCAGGGCCTCACCACCCTCACAGGCAACAATTTCTTCCCAATATCCCATTTTACCCTGCCCTCTGGCAGTGGGAAGCCATTCCCCCTTATCCTGTCACTCCAGGCCCTTGTAAATAGTCTGTTTCCTTCTTTCCTGAGGGCTCCTTCAGGTCCTGGAAGGCCATAATCAGGTCACCCCAAAGCTTCTCTTCTCCAGGCTGAACAATCCCAATTCTCCCAACCTTTCCTCATGGCAGAGGAACTCCATCCCTCCAATCAACATTTTGGAAGCAAAATAAATCCAAAGCATTAATGAGGAAATCAGAGTATTTGAAAGAATCAGGTGCAGGACATTCAGATTTCACATGAAGAGCAGCAGAATTGTAGGAACATCACAGAGTAAATAGCACAGTGAAGGATCATTACAGGAGAAATAATTTAATGCTACATTACAGTACACCTAATTTGACTACTGTAAACCTCCTTCTGTGCCTCCTTTTAGCTATTTAATGAAAAACAAGCAAAAATTTGTGTATTGCTCTAGATGTTCCTATAGCTCCTGAAAACCTGAGTGCCACTGCAGTGTTTCATTCAAACATGACAAAAATGTAATTTCTGCACCAAAGCAGGAATGATCCTCATCAGTCCTACTGCAGCCACCAAAAAAACAGTATTTCTGCTTCTTATGACAAAGAAATCTTATCATATTTGTGTTCTGGCAAAAAAATCTCTTCTTAAACACAGTCAACTCCATGAATCCAGCCTTGTTCAGACATGATTGACACCTTTAGTGATTGAGGCCACACAAGTAATAGATGTAAATAGGAGCTTAATTCCATGGAAAAGTTGTCTAGAAACAGTTTTTGATAAATCTAAAGTTTTCTAGAACAGTATCCAAGTGGCCTTGAGCTGATACCTCATAAGAACAGAAAACACAAACAGTGTTACTTTGCCTGGGTACCTTCTTATTTTTAAATGTTAATGGTATCACTTTTCCTAAGCCCATTTTCTGAACCATTTGTAGTTTTTGCACTGTGCAATGGTTACAGTTCCCCCAATTTAAATCTGAACTGCATGAAAAAAACACTGTCTTTTGTTGTTAAGCCTTAATTCTACCAGATTGTTAAATTACCCCACTTTATGCACAAAATATCCATCATGTTCCGTGTCAAATCAAGCATTACCACAGCACATTATGCTTCTGTACACAACAGCAGAAGTGTTTATCCTGAGTAGCAACCAATCCATTACCTGATTTTTTTCCCCTGTACAGTTTGTCAAGTCGCTCAAATTAAGTTTTACATAAAATGTGCAATTTTTGCACAGCAGACCAAACAACTTGGCTGAAACATGGGTTTAATTAGAGCACTGCAGCATCTCCTCTGTGTGTGTGCAAGGTTCTTTTAATGAAAAACAAACCATGGGAGGGACGGGACACCTGATCCAAGGGCTTGCAGCAACCAGAGATAGTGGAAAGTGTCCCTGCTCAAGGCAGGGAGGGGGATGATCTTTAAGGTCCCTTCCAACCCTTTGGAGACCTTCAGCACAGACTGGAATAAACCTTTCTAGAAGCTTATCCATCTGCATTTGAAGCAGTTTTATATATATAAACTATCCACAAATTCACGTGCAAATGTGTAACTACTTTTACCTAAGACAAAAATATTTCTTCTAAATATCAGAGTTTTGACACAAATACTTTTTAAATATCCAAACTTAAATTGACTGTAAGTTGAATGACATGTGCCTGAGGTACAAGAAAATTGTTGTCTTCAGTAAAAGGATGAAAAGGGTTTAAGTTTTGGTGAAAAGTCTTTCAGTAAATGAATGGATGTCCAGAAGAGAAAAACAGAATGACCAATCCTTCACCTCCCATCTCTGAAGACAGTGAAGGGTCTGGACAGTTCTCAAGTCTTAGAAAACAACCATTTAAAAGATTTATCTGAGCAGTGTTCCATAATTCCAAACTGGAGAGTGTTAAGGGGAAAGCTACAAAAACATATTAAGGGATTAGAGAGAAGGACCACAGAGCAAGATCTGCAGAGGTCAAAGCACTTAGTTTATCAAAGAGAGAGTGAAAGGGGCACTTTGATCACAGCTGGGGAAGCCAAAAAGGATAACAAAAACCTGCTGGAGCAAACCCTTCATCTAGGGAAGAACAGATATCAATTTCCAGGGGTTACAAGGGGAAAAGTGCCAGACTCACAGAGGAAAAAAGCAGCTGTTGAAGTAAAGGTGTGAATAATTAATGACTGAAGAAAATTACCAAAGGTTCTCATGGCTGCTCCACTGCCAGAGGTCTTTAACATAGGGCTGAGAGTTTCTCTGTGAGAAATGTTCCAGTTCAGCTGGAGTTACTTGGCTTGAATTAGGTCAGAGGAATCCCACAGACTTCAGTGAACTGTTCACCTTAAAAGGTCCCAACTTTGATGGACCTTAACAGAAGAAACCCCAAATTTATATTAATTTTTTCTCATATACCATTAGAAAGTACAAAGAAACACTCCAGGTAGAGAATATTTCCACAAAAAAAAATGTTATGGCTGAGGCTGACAGTGCAAAGAGGCAGCAAATTTTCCTGCTGCTGCCGCCACAGGAGTTGTATTCCTCCTTTTTGAACAAATTCAGGGAGAAGCACCTTGTGACAAATTTCTACCCCTCAAAAATCCATCTCTTTTCTTTGCAGGCCAGGGACCAGAACTCATCCAACCTAAGTAACAAAGATAATTACCATGTTCAAAAACACACAGGTAGTTAAATTCTGCTCCTCTTCCACCACCTGCCTCCTTGTCTTCTCCACCTCCCCAAAGCACCTCTGCAGCACAAACCTCCTGGCTGGGATCTCTCTCACTTTGCTGAGCCTTTCTCCTGATGGTGGCTACACAATTGGCCACCCCCAGCTCCATCCAACCCAGATTGTACTGCCCTTAATTGATTCATTAAGGCAGTCACTGCTGTCAGCTCGTGTGCTCAGTACAAAAAGCAGCAAATTATTCAAAACATGTTTTTTTTCCCTTCTGAGAAAATATAGTAATCAAGAGCTGTTGACTATTTTGGGTTCTCATTGTCTGCATGGCATTTCTAAAATAAAAAGCAAGAACAAGCAACTTGTCATCAGTCAGTGACTTCTAAAATTTGTCAGTTAAACAACCAGTGGTGCTCCTGATTTATAGGAGAGAGGTTTTGGCCAAAAAGATGTTTCACCATGGGCAAATCTGTTTGATATCCAACAACTTGTCAGTTTTCTAAACCTCTGCCAAAGGCTATTATTGATGGTAGAAGGCAAAACCAGCACAGAGAAACCAAAATTTTTGACATTTAACACCAGAAAAATCACACCAGCCATAAAAAAATTGCTATCTAAGAGTGAAAAATGCATAGATATTAATTTGATCTAAATTTAAAAGCAGCTTTTGCCCAAAAAAGGATCTCATACACCACATCTTACCAGGTAGGTACAAAATTAGCACATAAAGTCATCATCTAGAATCATATGGACTTTTGTGACTCTTCACGGGTCTGAGATCAATATATATAAATAGATATAAATGTTTTTATGCTATACCCTGAATTTGGCATCCTCTACCTCTGTTGAGGCCTGGAGCCCACAGAGCAAAGCAGTGAAGTTGTGCCACAACACCTTAAACCAGAACAGCTGTGAATAATCCCCATTATATGAGCTCTGTGTTCCTGGCACCTGATGAACCACCAGCCAGGTCTCCAACTGTGTGTCAGACTCCTTGTTTAAACCCCCTAAAGAGATTCAGCCACTCCCAGCAAGGTCTGAAGTGACATCTTGAAAACTAGCAAATTCAAAGAGTCGTGTGAGTGACTGTTCCTCCTCAAGAGGAAACATTAATTCTTTGCAGAATTAAGTCAATGTATTATTTATTACTTCCTATGGTTCTATTTGTGTTTTCTCCAAGTGGGATTCAGGGCAGGGAATGCTCCTAAAAGCCCACCAAGACACCGCAATTTGTTGTTTTACACAGCTCCTTTTACACCACCCTTTGATTAATCATGACAAGTTACCTCACTACAAAAGGTGACAGCCTTTGGTTCCTCAGGAAGCACTGGAATACAAATTTCCAATTAATCTTGTCCTTGCAGGTGGTAGAACCAGCTGCAGAGGAAGCAAAATGTTGTATCACCTCAGGCAGATCCACGTGTAGGTCCTTGGGGCTCACCTGGATGTGTCAAGGAACAAGATTGTGGCAATGCCAAAGTCTCGGGCCATTCCATGCCTGGATGTCCCATGAAGGCTGTTCCTGCTGATCAGAAGAGCTGTGTGCATGATAACAGGACAGAGAGGGCTTGTCTGCTCTGATAAGGAACAAGTTTTTACAGTGAGGGTGGTAAAACACTGGCACAGAGAAGCCGTGGCTGCCCCATCCTTGGAAATTTCCAAGGCCAGGTCAGACAAGGCTTGCAGCAACCTGGGATAGTGGAAGGTGTCCCTGCCCATGGCAGGGGCTGGAACAAGATAGGCTTTAAGATCCCTTCCCACACAACCAGGCTGTGATTCCATGATCCTGCTCAGCTGTGGGGTTGGCAGAGGGCAGA